TTGTGGGGCTGGCGCGGGATCGGGCAGTGTTTCGTTCTGCTGTGCATGGGGTCGCTATGAGTCGGAAACGACTCGACGGCACTTAACAACAACAACAACATGTATAAACCAGTGACACTGACTATATTCCTTGAGTTGTGTGACCATTCTCAGCCTCCTTTTCTCAGCTGTCCCCCCCTCATTAACACAGACTCACTGCCCTCTGAGGTTCCTATCTAACCTTTTGAATTGCTGTTGTCAATGTGATCCCCTGTAGATAGTTCTTAAAAGAACATAATGCCCAAGGAAGACATTTTTTGCTAGTTTAAATTATTGTTTGGTTTTAAGAAGACTTCAGGGGATATTTTTAGTTTAAATTTTAAAGATTATCTCAGGCTAATAGGTTCAGGGGTTCATCCTGCCCCCAGGGCTCCAGGAAGTCTGCAGTCCATGACAATTTGAAATTCTGTTCTGCCTTTTCCCCCTGTTGATCAGGATTTTTCTATAGTATCTTTGATCAAAATGTTCAATGATGGTAGCTGGGCATCATCCAGGTCTTCTGGTCTCCTGGCAAAGGAGGCAGTTGTTCATGGAGGCAATTAGGCATATATTCCATATTCTCCTCCTATTCCATATTCTCCTCCTTCCTCTGTTGCTCCAGGCAGCTAGAGACCAATTGGTAGGCTTTAGATGGCCACTTGCAAGCGTTTAAAATCCCAGACACTATGCAATGAACTAGGAGGTAGAACAGAGGCTCTAATCAAGTTTTTAGGCCAGTTACTGGGGTGTCCCATGAAACCACGGACCTAAACCTCCAAACAAGAAACCAGATCTCATGAGGTTGGGCTGTACATAAATAAGCAGCCTCAGCAGCTACTCTCTCTCTCTCTTTTCTCATTGTTGTAAATATATCTATCACACAACTTTTGCCAATTCAACTTTTCACAGGTGTATAACTTACTGACAGCAATTACAATAATTTTATGTCCAACTTAACCTTCATCGATGTGATATTTCCATCACTGCTAATCCCTCATTCCTCCCTCCCTCCTCTCCCTGGGAACCACTAATAAACTTTGTCCTCTATACAACTGCCTTTTTTGTCTTTTTATAAAAGTGAAGTCAGACAGTATTGTCCTTTTGCGATTGGTGTAACTCACTCATCATGTCTTCCAGCTTCATCCACACTGCAGCATGTATCAAGGTTTCATCTCTCCTACTGACTGGGTAGTATTTGATTGTACGTATGTACCACATTTCATTTCTCCTACTGACTGGGTAGTATTAGATTGTATGGATGTACATTTTGTTTGCCATTCATCTACTGATGGACATTTAGGTTGTTTCTGCCTTTTGGCTATTGTGAATAGTGCTGCAATTAACATCGGTGTACAAATCTCTTTTTGAGCCTCTGCTTTCAAGTCTTTTGGGTACATACCTGGAATTGGAATTGCTAAATCAAATGGTAGTTCTATTTTTAGTTTTCTGAGGAACCACCACACTGTTTTCCACAATGGCTGTACCATTACCCACCAGTAATGGATAATGGTTCCAACTTCCCACATCCACACCAACATTTCTTGTTTTCTGTTTTGACCTTAGCCATACTAGAGGCAGTGAAGCAGTGACTTTGCAGTTTTGATTTGCATCAATCTGATGGCTAATGATGCTAAACTTCTTTTCATGTATTTGGTGGCCATCTGAATATCCTACGTGGTGAAATATCTATTCAAGTCCTTTGCCCATTTTATAACTGTTTTTTGTCCTTTTGTTGTTAACTTTTTGAAGTTTTATAT